GATTATTCCCTCTTTGTGGAACGCCCTTTCTTCCCCATTTCCCTGCCTGGAAAAATTATTTTTATCTCTTAAGATATCACTCAATGCATCCTCTCCTGTGACATGGTAGCCAGGTCCCCAGGCTCTGAGTTCTTCCTACCCCTGCTCCCCTAACACCACCTACGTACTTTATTTTCTCACTAATCATTCTATAATTAACTGTCCATACATCTCCCCAGAGAGACTGAGACCCATCTTTTATCTCCAGTGAATCAGTATAGTGTCTGGTATATCAGAGCCACTAAATAAATGCTGCTGAATGACTAAACTCATCAAATTACAGAGCCACTTCACTGATCTGCTACCACATGCTAGCTCTCCATGGAGTCTATAGAAATTCGTATGCTGTTTCATTTCTTCTACATGTACATATAACAGAATTCAGTAATTCCACTTAAAAAAATAACAACTTGTTCCACATATTGAAATTGTACATCATTATAGGCCACTGGCACTAGTTATATTCACAGTTAACTCACCAGTTGGATAGGTCGTATTGACATGATTATGTTATTTGATCCTCCCCAGTCAAAAAAGCACTTGTATTTCCCTTTCTCTAAAATGTACTGTTGTCCACAGAAGAACTTCTGCTGGTAGGCAACCCATCTAGTAGGGGAAAAAAGGAAAAGCAGAGGTGATGTAGAATCAAGCGACCAATTTTAAACACCAGACTCTTTCAAGGTTCTCAGAGCAGGAGACAACTTACACTCCACTTTTAACGTGAATGGATCTTGTTTCGCTGCCAAAGCCAATTTCTTCTAAGTCAGATATTTCCTGATTTGTAATGTCAATAAACTTCCCACTTTCCAGGTCAGATTCAAACAGTGTGATGGAAGATTCTATAAAATTCTAAAAAGAGGAAAGTTTAGGAAAACATATGCATTTTATTTTATAGATTGCCAAGTCTTTTCACAATGTTCACATACTTGTGGAATAATTTTCACACGAATTACTCAGAAGAATTTAAATAGTACTAGAAACAATTATAATAGTCAATACTCCTAAGTAGCAAAGAAAAAAATAAACCTGAATTTTTATGTTAATCAGAAAAGTATAATGTTTTTATTTAAATGGAAATAGTCAACAGTTGGTAAATTGCTGGGACTTATAAGCTACCATATCTAACTTTAAGTGTAAACAAAACTAATGTCTAACTTGTGTCTAAAGAGCAAAAGCTTCATGAAACAAAAGTCAATATACATCATACTGTGGGCAATGTGGGAGAGAATTTTATTAGCTTAAATAAGGAAAAAAGTTTGCTTGGCAAAATAAATTTTATTAAAAAATCAAAACAATAGGAAATTTAAACAACTTTTAGTCAGACAATGTATCTGAAACAAAAATACAAGACTCCAAATTGATAAACCAGCAAAAAAACAGACAATTCATAAAAAATTAAAAACAAATAAGTGACTAATTTTGCTAGTAAAAACAAAAAAATTCAAATTAAAACAATTGATATAATTCTCATTTTTAAAATTAGGTTAAGAAGGATCTAAAAATTTAGTTTTGTCAAGGTGTACTGCTAGTAGAAGTATAAATTAGACAGCTATTTTAGAAAACAATTTAGAGATATATTTAAGACTAGAATTGTTCATATTCTTTGAGCCTAAAATTCCTTTTTGTAAAAAGCTTCTCAAAGAAACTAAATAGTGGGCAATTTATATGCAAAGATGCAATATTTGTAATAGTGAAAGCTGTAAACAAGGCAAATATCCAAAAGATGAATAAAGATAAACCTTTATGCATCCGCTACTTGACAGAATATAATTGAGTTTTTAATGAGCTAACAGTTAAATGTACTAGCCAGAGCTTTATGAATATTTTTTCCAAAAGAGCAACCCACCATGCAAGATTATATTATTATCATTCTCACTTTACAGCTAAAAAAACTGAGTAATATATAATTATTTTGAGTAAAATATATATTGACATAATATATATTAATATATGTAGGTGTGTATGTATGCATATATATGTATGTATACACATACACCTACACACACACACACACATATATGCCATTTTACAGATGAGGCAATCAAGGCTTTAACAGCCTATAAGTGATTTGCCTTAAAGTCCCCAGAACAAGCGTCCCAACTGAAGTATGATGTTTACAGCCTGGGAGCCACATCAACAAACCTGGGTGTACTGACAACATAAACTTTCATCACCCAAGGAAACTGAACATGCCTCTTTCAGGTCTCTTGCAACCTGAAAATGCTAATTAGCTCAAGGTGGCTGTGAGGATACAATGTGATGATGGCTGAAGGGGGCCCAATCTGGGTCCCGGTTAGGAACCGGTATTAATAGCCACCAATCAAGTCGGGGCTGGTCGTAATGAAAAGATCTTCAGCAGCTCTCAATTATACAGACCCCTCTTCTCACACTGTGGGGACTCTGGAATGTTCCATCGCTGCCTCTATTTCTGCCTCCACACTACTTATTCTCTACACAATTAGGGTGTAGGAATGGGGGAGCAGGGATAAGCCAAAATATATCATGGGTCACTGTGTTATGTTGGAGTCAAATAGAACAAAGACAAAAAAATAAATATTAAGTATGTATATGTGTGCTGTGTTTGTGCCCATTCATTAAAACTAACTTGTGCTATGATGTGATGTATTTTACTTGAGCAATGGTTGTGTGGGAGTGACAGCAGTGAGGAGGGTGAGCTGGGAAGTAGGCTGAAGGCATAGGCCACTTGGCAACACTGCAGCCCAGAGCCGAGGACAGGAGGAGGAACCCACTGTCACAAGGTCCACTGCCAAGTAGAAGTGCTGACAGCATGAGTTCACAAACTTACTTGCATGGCTCGAGTTTGTGTCCTTCCTATTCTGTCTACCATACCCAGAGACTTGACTAAGGGCCACAGGAGTCTCCCAAGTGCCATCGTTCTCCATCTTCCGCTTTTGTTTATTCTTGGCTTTTTGTGCCTTATAGCTTTTGCCTCTCATCTTTTCCTAAGTACCCATAAACCACTCTCCTAGTTTTGACTCTTTGAATTTTTCACTCAGACCTACCAAATACACAGTATTTGATCTAGCTGAGTAGCTGCCATCAATATGGTGCCTCCTCCAGGCAAGAGTTATAACTCTAAGCCAACTCCACTCACCTGCAGCTAAACCTCCAGTGTCACGTGTACAAAGCATGATACAAAACATTCAAAAAAAATTAAACAAAAAAACTAGTAACTGTCTTGTTCGGTGATTGCAACAGGCACCCGATGAGAGTCACATCCAGAGTAAGCCCTTCTGGGTTACTAGGTCACCACTGCCCACATCTTACTAGGCATAATTAAATAATTTCACCAAAGATATTTAAGTGGAGCTTTTGCTTGACAAGAATAAGGATGGAATGACCTCAAATGTGTATTCCATTTTATTACACAAACACACAATTTTTTTTTTTTTTTTTTTTTTTTTTTGCTGAAACTGTCATCTGAAAATCTTTTCAAAAATGATCATCCAATTAGTGGCTATAATCATCCATTTTATATTTTTAAAGCATCTGATTGAAAAAT